GGGGGCAATAAAAGCCCTGTTTCAGTTTTTGCATCCCGGCAGCCGCGAACAAACTGGAGTTGGGGTTTTCAAGGGGTTGTACGGTTTGGGAACCATCCCTCTGCTACGCCGCAAAGGTGATTCAGAGCAAGTTATCGGTTCTTTGGGAAAAGTATATGGACAACAATAAAAGCATCTCTAAATGTGCGGTTCCCAGAAACACGGGGTTGTGCAGATGTGGGATGATTGAAGGCTGACCCGCCGCGAGAGGAGAATGAAGCAAAATGGATGTTGCAAAATGCGCGAATGCAACTTTCCTTTATTTCTCTCTGTGCGATTTTTCCGCCTCCTCACTGCAGCCCCTATGCAGAACTCATCCCTTATGGAGAAATCACTTAGTCACCAGCTTAACTGCCCTCCTAAATTAGGATCTGCCTTGGAATGGACGAGGCTTTGAAATCTTCCCTCCTCTGCAGATAACTATTCTTTAGCCTTAATTTTGGCCACCATTTTTATATAAATGTCATAGTGGGGTCTCAAATCATCCCTCACATTTTCCCACTTGCATGATTCCTGTAAAAACACCTTTTGGCTATATCTTGCGTGCCCCTTAATGCACCGTTTTGTTTTAGCTCCGGGAGTGAGTTCAGCTAGCGGGAAGGGGTGTTGGGAGAAGCCAAAAAAACCCGACTGCCATCAGGGCTGGCTGCTGCAGAATTATTTTGTTAGCAAACCCCGGGGAGTTTTACTTGGTGGCTTTTATTTGTCCCTGTTTCTCGATGCAAAGTGCTGCTTCGTAGCTGGGGATCTGGCAGCAGCAATATTGCTCTGCAGCGGGATAGACCTGGTGATAGACCGGTAAATTACAGCCGCTGTCGGACCTTCGGCTTTTTCAGGCTGCTGTTGGGACCGTGGAAATATTGGGGTGTCAGGCAGATGGTATGGCTAAGGTGTGAGGTGCAAAAGTGCTCCCCAAACTCGGCAGCTCAGGTGCCACCGTTGCAGTGCCTCAGTCTCGGTGGCTCTTGCAGAAAAACACCACGGAGTATCATTTTGAATAGCTTTTATTTAATTATCTTTGCTGGGAAATGAAAGCAAGAGAGAAAAGAGAGGAGGAAGGGACCAAAAAATGGAAGTTGACGTGTCTTTCTGGGAAGCAGGGGATCTCCATCCGCAATGTGAGCGTGCCCTTCCTCAGCCTGAACATCACCTTGTGGGGAGCCTTGCTGGCGCCGGCTCCGTTCAGCCCCCACGTCAGGCTTTTCTTGACGTAGCAAAGGGGAAAGCCAGTCAATATCTGCAAACTTGGGTGCAGATTTCTCCCCCTCAGCACTGGAGCTTACTTCCTCGGCATTTCAGCTTGAAATAGAAGCGGTAGGATTCATTGTAGGAATGCAAAGAGCTCGCGAAGCACGAAGCCACTGCCTTGTCGCACAGGCAGGTTTCTCTCTTGCACCAGCTCTGCTCGTTACCTGCGGGAGATAAAACACGGTGCTCTGCAGTGGCTTTTCCAGCTGGCATCGGCGATGCGGTCCCCTTGGAGCACCCCCGACGCCTGGAGCCGCCCAGGGGAAGCGCACAAGGAAGCGCACGCCGGCGCTCGTCCTCTCCAGCCTGCCCGCATCCTTGCAATGCCCATTTATTTATTGTACGCTGCGTCCTCCTGTACACACCCGACCGGGCGTCAGGCTGGTTTCATCCCCGGGGGGGATGCCCTCCTGCATACCCTGCTCTGGGGCTGGGATGTCGCGGGGAGCGGTGCTGGTTCCCCACCTCCGTGGGACCCCCCGCTCGATGGTACTCACTGCAGACGATGTCTCCGTTGGCGACGTCAAAGTGGTAGGGGGTTATCAGGGGGCTGCAGTTGCCCTCTCGCAGCTTCCTGTAGCAGCAGTCGTGGGCACGGCAGCACCTGCGGGGGACACCGTGTCAAACCGCTGTCCCCGAACCCTCCCTCACCATGCTTGGAAGGGAAAGGAAGGTCCAGCCTCAAATCTAAGGTGACCGGGAGGAGGGGATAACAGGGCAGCAGCAAGACGTGGGTGGGGAACGGCGCAAAAGCCCCTCTCGGAGCACACCAGTGCCAGCAGGCTGCCAGCGAGGAGCTTTTTTAGGGACCCCTGCGCCGGGACAGCGAGCGGCGATGCTTTTCCAGGTACTCACTGGTCGGTGGAGTCCACCGGGGTCCCTCTGCCCCCGATGCCGCAGAAACACCCGTACCAGCTGTAGGAGAGCAGGGCGCTTTTCCCCGTGGCCGATTTGATCATCTGCTCCAGCTCCAAAATGCTGCCGCGAGCCGGCAGCAGCCCTGCGGAGGGGGAGAGGGACGGGCTTGCGCCGGTGTGGAGCGAGGAGGCAGGCAGCATTCCCTGCGCCTCGCACCGAGCAGAGGAATTAAATAAGTCTGGCGTTGCTGGAAATACATGCTTTCAGGCATGTGAACCATGAGAAGCCCCAAAAAAAGGCCTCAGGATTATATCTGGTTTCTGCAGCTACCTGATTTGGTCTGGCAGAAGATATTATTGCTCTGTACAGGCTGTGCCACGCTTGCATCCTGCAATCGGCAATGCCACATTGCGAGGATCAGCCGTGGGCTTGGCACAGGCAGGAAAGCAGGTGACAGCAGGCTTCAGGGCCTCTTAAAATAAATGTGGATCTCGGCATCCCAAAGCCTCACCGTCATGAAGACCTCCAGGACTACAGCAGTGCTACTTGAAGCATTAGAGAGAAACTGCAAAATTTAAACAAAAGCCTGAATTGTGCACAGAGACTCTGGGTTTGTGCGTCTTTTTTGCCACACAAACGAGATCCCAGCCTGGCCCGGTGAAACCGGGGCACTTACCGCAAGCCAAGAGCACGGCAAAGAGGAGATTCTTCATCCTCGGGCTGGCCCTGGAGGAGGAAACAGCAACGGCGGGCGATGAGCAGCACCCCGGGGGCAGGACAGATGCTGCCCCCATGCCGAGGGCATGGAGCCAGTCGGGTGCACCCTGGCAGCGCCGCAGGGTGACATTAGTGTCGCCGTGGATATACAGCGTTGTGAAGGTATCGCCGTGCCCGAGTGCGCACAGCTTGGTGCCCAATGGGGCCTTTTGACTCCGGTTTTGGGATGCAGCACTCGGCAGGGATATGTACAGGGACACAGTGGTTGTCCTGCCCGGGGCTGATGGAGAAGCTCACCGTCTGCAGCCGCCCCCCCCCCCGTCTGCGCCCCCCCCCCGCCGCTCCCCGAGCTGGCTGATGAAATAAGAGGGCAATAAAATCCCCCCTCTCCTTACCCCGCCTGGACTTCGCAGCTCTGAGACTGGCGGCTTCGCTTTATATAGATGGTGAGGTCCACCCCCTCCTCTATCTGCGGTGACGGTGCTATTCATCGCAGAGCAGGTCTCACCAAGTGGCCCCCCGGTAAGGGAAAAGGTTCCCATCCTTCCCCTTTACAAGAAACAGGAGTTTCCCTGCAGCAGTGTGCCGCCAGCATGGCCGGCGGCAATGGTTCCTCCATCATCTCGCTTCTGCTCGTCGGCTGGGCACGAAGCTCTCTTCATCTTGGGCTGATGCGGCTTCTGGATGAGGCCAGTCAACGTCTCAGCCATGGTTTTAAAAGTTGTGGGATTCAATGGCTGGAGAGACAGGACAAAAGTGATTTATGCCCAGGAGGTGCAGAGCTGGCACCGCAGAGGTCGTTGCGTCCTTGTTCCAGCTGCAGAGGCGGCACTTTGGCCTCGGTGCCATCTCGAGTGGGTGCTTGCTTTTGCCAGCTCATGCCCTGCAACCTCAGAGATGGTTTCTCTTGGGTCTTTCCCTTGCAATTGCCCCCTCAAATCCATGTCTGCATCCAAATCCGGCCACGCCGAATGGCAAGGGGAGGCACAGGGAGGACGGCGAACGCCGCCGTCTCGTGTCATGGGTCTGTAGTTTTCCTGTCCTGCCCTCAGGGCATGGGAGACTCGGGGAGTGCGTGGGCAAGGGGTCTGTGAAATTAAATGATCAGAAGAAAGCTGGAAACGCCATGGAAACCTGACTTGGAATGCTTTTTGAATACAGTTTATTTAATCACCATAACTGAGATGTGATACAAAGGCACAAGGGAGACAGAAAACCAGAGGAGATAAGAAACAAAAGCTGCTATCTTCCCTGTGAAACCCTGGGCCTGAGAGCAAACACACACACGCATGCAGGGTATCAGGCCTGTATGCAGGGCTCCACCCTCAGTAATTAACCACGCTGCTGGGGAAGGGAATTGGGGGGGGCGGATTGTAAGAAAATGGCTCAGGGGTCTGTATACAAGAAGAAAACCCCTTCTTGAATTTCTTGAGAGCCACTAAAGCTGCTCGCTGGAAAGGACATCACCTCCCGGCTGTCCTCCAAGGCTGGCAAAGATGTCTGTCCCAGGGCTTTTCTTCCCTCTAACCTTATATTTCCTGCTGCCAAATGGAATAAAAAATGATCCAAGCCCAATAAGGAAAGGATGGGGAGCAACAGCTCGCCTGCCTCTCCGCTCAGGCGTGCCGAGTGGCTTACCCACTCGCCATCTGCGCAAGAAACCATCTCGAAATGCCACGATGCGAACCAACGGGCATCACGCCGACACCCAAACCCCCCCTCCTTTCCCCGACTGACTTTTAAAACCATGGCATCCCTGATGATTAAGCATCCCCTTCCCGCCTCATCCACAAAAAACTTCCATTCTAGAAGATTTTCCCCATTGTGGTGTTCATTATCTGCACTGCTCGTGCTCGTTGGCATTGCAGGTCCTTGCCCTTTGGGGCGGGTTTGCTGCTGATGGGGAAAGATGGCCCTGATCTCCGGGGTTTTTGCTGTAGAGTTTGGCTAAACCTGTGTGAAAGGCACCGTCCGGGGGCCTAAACAGAGACCAGAGGGCTGGGATCATGGAGATTGGGGATCCACAGGTGGCTTTAAGCAAATCTCCTCATTTTAAGCCCTCCCTTGCTGCGGAGGGTCTGAGAGTGAGCAGGCAAAGCTAAACCTTTTCCATCGAGCCACAAACCTGAGGGCTTAAAAACCACCCGTGGTAGTTATTATTCCGCTGGAAATATGAAACTTTTCAGCCTTCCTATGGAGCAAACAAAAGGGGGATCAACCCACACATCTGTTTGTTCGGGGCCTTATTGAAAGGTAAATATGCCCGGGGCTTTGATCTGCAAAGCGCGGGGCTTCGGTGCGGTATTGCCGAACATCCTGCGGATGGGATGAGCTGATATGCAACTCTTTTCTTACCTTTTTAGTGCGCGGGTACGCCTTGATCTTCCCCCGCCCGCAGGGTGGAGATCCCCGATTTGACGGCGGATAAGTTATCTGAAGTTATTTATTGCTTGTTTCTTGCTGCCTTTGGTGGGCATCTGTTAGTGGGAGAAGCATCTGGTTAACTAGAAGAGGGTTTAAAAAGGGATTAAGGGGGAGAGATGGCAATGTCAGCGTTACGTGGTGTGTTCCCATGACGAAAACCTCAGGAATCGTTTATAGCCCGGGGGATCAGGACTCCCCCTCCCTGTCAGCGCCCGCCAAGCTCGCAGGCTGCAGCTCTCCCAGCACAAAGCAAGCTTAAAAGTCCCCCAGAGGAGTTGTTGCAGGTCCCTGGATGATCTTGTGCCTAAAGTGTAATTTTTTTAAAGGTGTTCTCATTGAATCTAATGAGCTTGGTGTTTAACCGTCCGGTTTTATTCAGTGATCGCTCAGGTGAAGCTGTTCAATCATACTGTTGTGAAACTCATGTCATGGCGGGGTTAAAACCTAATCCAGTTGTTCCCCTTCTGCCTTTGCTCAGGAGAGGGTCAAACACCGTATTTCTAAACTTTCAGGGTTAAAACAAAAAAGGCTTTCGGTATATACAAGCCTCAGTGCCGGGTCCTGCACTTGGGTCACAACAACCCCATGCAAGACTACAGGCGTGGGGAGGAGCGGCTGGGAGCTGCCTGGCTGAAAAGGACCTGGGGGTGTTGGTTGACAGTCGGCTGAACATGAGCCAGCAGTGTGCCCAGGTGGCCAAGAGGGCCAACGGCATCCTGGCTTGTGTCAGGAACAGTGTGGCCAGCAGGAGCAGGGAGGTGATGGTGCCCCTGTGCTGGGCACTGGTGAGGCCGCCCCTCGAATGCTGTGCTC